TCTCCAGTCTTGTCCTCCCGAATGTAAAACGTCATGGGACTAATTAGCCTGCGATCTATTAGTCCTAGATTGTTTACTCTTCCGATAGTGTTTTTGAACAGCCGACACCTTTCAGTATATCTGTCGTAGATACTTGTGCTCCACATGGGGACAGGGGATATTCAGAATAAGTTCGTCTGATCTCTGTTGGTACTGAATATATCAAAGATCACATCAGATGAACTCGTCGGTCAAATCTAGATGTCGTGCACACTCTTGCCCATAGACGGTTCAGTCTCGTTTCGCGTCAACAGGATATAGATAAATCGCCGTCACTGTCTTCGCACATTTACAATTGATAGCCCACTCAGCGATCGACTCCCATGATGAACTTATTTCCCGTAGGAACCTAAGTGGTGTGATAACATTACAAATAAATTGCAGAGAACGCATGACTGATTGAAGAACTTCTCGCGCCGGTGCCGCGCACGCGGTTTAAACTCTGCGGAGTTTCCAATAGGCAATCGTTAGGTGCAAAAGCTAAACGAAATGTTGACGTGATAGGAGCTCAAAAAACCTTACCATTGTCCGTCTCGAAAGTGGATAGTTGGGAGCTACGGAAACGTGCCGATAACAAAACTTTCTGGACACACGATTGACCTTAGCCACACAAAGTCCTGTGCAAATTGAATTGGGAAAAATTAGATAAATAAGTCTTGCTATCTAGGCAGCTATATTTCACCCGGAGGTCGGAGGTCGGATGAAGTGATTCACGAATTCGGAAGGCGCGTCTGACTTTTGTCAACCTCAGCCATCTGTTGAGTCAGAGGGTTATCCGTTTACTTACCTAAGGGCGAGTGTACGCTGCACTATTCAGAAACTTGACCACTGTAGGCGAAGGATACACGAATATCATTGGTATTCGAACACTGATTTCTTTGTAGCATTGCTCGAATCTGGTGGGAGCACCGTATCAGCAAAGCTGAGGTTCAGCATAGAGTATTAGGTACACGAACCAAATTATTAAGTAAAACAATTAAGCTAACCAGAATGAGGTCGTTAAGACATTTGTTGCGCATGTCACCGGATAGGATTCCTGAGTACGCATAATTCGCTGAGGCGGATAGTGGTTGGAAGGTCAGTGAAGGTAGCCAATCCGTATGGAAAGCCTTACGAGTAAACTTGGTCATGCAGTGCGTGTTAGGCTTCCAGAGTGGAATCCAAAAGATTATTCTACTCAATAGTTAGCTACATGCTAGAATATGGTTGGGTATCGCGATAAGTTGCGCTTTTGTATTCACAATCTTCCTTTATCGGCTTGATGGTACAACTTGTAGTCCTGTTTTTAGGCTTTTCGTACTTGTTTTTGGTTTTTTCCGATTGAAGCTCTTTCTAAGACACAGCAACCAAAACCACTGCACTCAGTGTTTGTTTGATGGTCGTTAGAACTGAACTGATGAACTGAGCACATACGTGATAGGCTAATGGTTGAATGAAGACACTGATTAACCGACAAGAATGCCAAATATTTGTCTAGACCTTCAGTAAATAAATCCGGAGTTCTTTAAGGTGCAAACTCTTAACTTTTGCTTTTCTCTGACTCTAGTAAAAATACTCCTTTTCTTCTATTACATGCTTGTGCATGAGTGCAGTGGAAGGGGTATGTACCCCATAGCCACGAGGGCCCACTGCGCTATTGGAGATAATCGGTAACCGAACCCTGAGACTTGGAGTGGAGAACCACAAGGTCCCAATAGATCAGGCGTGGTAACGCTTCGGACGGCAGTGAGAATTACTGTCTACCACCAAAGTAACCGGTGATGGCGAGGATTCGAACCTCGGACCTCTGAGGTGGTAAGCAGACGCTCTAAACCATTCGATCACCAGCGGCCGGGGAAATCATTTCTGACCACCGAGGCTCGTATCGCATGGCATCTGTTCATTCAGATGTTTATGGTTTAATTTACATTATTTCAAAAGTTCGGTTAATTTTCGAAGAAAATCACACTGTTCATAATCCTGACCAGTGCTTCAAATGGCTTTTGACCGTAGCTTGCTTTCAGATTCCATCTGCCCTGAGCATGCTTCGTTCAGCACAGTGTATCAGCGAAGCTTCTGTTACGCGTCTTGTTGATATATTGAACAATAATCAATGTCGCTTGTCACTTATCGAATGTTATGTTAGCAAAATGGAACGTTTTTCGTTCTCAAATTAGCAAGCTCAACTATTGTATGCAAGTGGTATACGGATGGTCAGATAAAGTTTACTGGAACTACAAGACAGGTTTCGCGGTTTTCGCCGCTCATCAGGTATGCTTGCGCGATTCTACTCTATGCTAACTACCAATATTTCAACTGGCGATGACATTTCCGTCGTTCTCAAACGTAGATGCGAGTAAGCAACCCGAAGGACTATCAGCGAAGCACCTGCCCACTCTCTTGATGCACAACTGAGCTAACAGTGAATCAAGACCAGCTGCTTTTGAGATGAAAAATTTAACGTTTGTGTTCGTGTTCACCAGTAATGTTTTCCATCTTTGATGACCCCTCGCACTTTTGAATATTAAACTTTTACGCATTCGTTTTTGCCTTACTATCAAATGAATTTATCACCTAATCGAATTTGAGATAAACCTGTCTCTAGTCTGTACCGTTTTTGATCAGATTGCCAGTGGATGGATGAAAGCAGAGTGATTAGCCGAGAGTATTCTAACTTTAGGCTGTTGAACAGTGATATCCCATTCAGCATATGATTTCGATGAAAGTTCTCTGACACTCATCTTTAATAGCACCATTTGCTTCAGTTATTTTAGTCCGATGGAAATGCTTGGTTTAAACTGTCTCAGTATTACTAGATGCCATGCCAGTTGTGTTGGAGAATAAAAAAAGTGTTGGTTTAACACTATTTGTGAATAGCAGTGATCAAACGGTCGTCCTCATGAATTTTGAACCACGACGTCCCGGATCGATTCTCGCCACCGCCGGTCACTTCCTCATTCGGCAACGTTTGATTGACCACGGCCCCGTTTCAGAAATATTGTACATTGTTGTTTAATAAATAAAGGAATTAGAATAGTGTTGTGATTGGTATTATCATTGCTTTCAATGGGCACAAAATCGCATCAACAATGTATCGAAATTCGATACCATAGATGACCATTTTACTCAATCTGATGCGGTATTTCTTTTCGGATGCGGTATAGAAAGGAAGAATTCCTGAATAGTTTTCATTACGCGCAATTTTTCACCAGTTTATTTTGTGAAACAGCAGGTAAACCTAGTGTTTTGAGGTAATACTTTAGCGTTCAGCACAATGGAGCTTGATGAAGGTTGCGAGTACGTCCGTAGGAAAGATTAGGGTGACGTGCCTTGCTAACTGGAGACAGACATAGTCAATAGGGTGTAAAAATACTGATTGAAGAGGTGTCATCAGTTAATTTTCGATAAGAGAAAATATCTGATAGATCCCTTGTGATCAACCACACGGACAAAAATTCCGGAGAAGCTAGATGAACCATATGTATCATATATTCCGTGTATCGTTTATGTATCTTTAAAGGAGTGCTGGTCGTGGATACCTTAGCACGAACCATCCTATCGGTGGTTTTTATATCTCACTACTAAATTGATAGTTATAACTATCCAGCCAAGAGAAGATATCACATGGCAAATGATAAAACGATCGCTTTCATGATAGTGTAGCGTTCTGGGGATGGCCAAGTGTGTTTGTGTAAAATCACTGAATGAAAGGAAGTTAGCTAAATGTTTGACTAATATCAACATAGCTCTAGACAGTATGCTTATTGTTTGGTGCCACAAGGCCGTATTCGTTGATTGTCGGCTTACATTACCGGTAATTCATTTCGAATTTCGATAATTTGTCATGTTTGATCTTCGTTGCTGTTCACAAACTGGAAAATTTACGTTGTTCAAAATGTATATTTTATTTTTGTTCAATAAAACATTCAGTACTCACACGCGAGCCCAGTTGAATGTAGCTGATAATAAATACAGTGTGGTGGCATCGCCAAACGTTTTTGCCTTTGATGTCGGTTGCTAGTGAGGCCAATGTTTCAGAATGATACGGGCAAGGGATTGGCTTGGTTCACATGGTGTATGTTGTGTGTGTGTGTGTGTGTGTGTTTGTGTGTGTGTTAGAGAGAGAGAGAGAGTGAGGGAGTAATTTAGGGCTTTAGGGCGCTGATTTAATATAGCCGCATCAAATTTTTCCATATAACCAAGTTTCATCTTTCCGATTCTTCTTCAAAGTTAAGCGAGCCGTTTGAAGATATTCCTTGAGGAAACGGCAGAATGGTTTTATGATTTATGCGTGTAGAAAACGATTGTCTCGGGCTGAATGAATTGTACGACGATGCAATGGAAACTGAATTGGGGCTATGCGAAATGTTGCGTATAGAGACAGGTCACTCGGACAAAGGGCTTAGTTTAATTTGAATTCGTGGTTGAGTTGTGGGGGTTGGGTGAAGGGCGCAAAGCGATGAGACTGAATCAACACGAAATCTGTACAAATCATAGGTGAACTAATGGACATTTTTTGTATATTCACTTTGCTTGGTGATGAGTGGAGGCAAGAAATTGTTGGTATATTATTGGAATAATGTGGATTTTAGAAAGAATGGCAGTGCGACTGCGTTCGAGTAGTCCCCGAAGTTGCTGCATGTTGTCTCAACAGTTTTGAACAGTCGTTGACCAACAACCTAAGTTGACAGGATCCTACGAATATTCTCGGGATTTCCCGTCAAAATGTTCGAGTGGCCCGTGACTATGTCTTGCTCTTTGATATTAAAGGGTTAGTCTCCAGAAAGAACCCAGAATCACTGAGAAGGCCATCCAATGAGTACGTTGGCAGCAGGTAATGTGTTCAGCTAGCAATAACGATCAATTAAGTATTTCTTATTCTGGTTAGATATACAAAACATGAAGGCGCTTTGACGAGCTTTGGGGAGTAGCAACTGGACAACTGAAGAACTCGATTTCACGCGAGGTGTTTGAATCGTTTTTCATCCATCTTTGTTTGGTTCCTCTTGTGACTCCTCCACCATCTGTGCCAAGTACCATTCTCGATTGTCTTCAAGTGTTTCGAGGATTTTTTGAGCATCAGGATGTACCAATTCAGACCAGGTTTCCCACAATGGATGCACAATGTAGTCGATGAAGCTCACCTGAAATAGGAATTTTTACAACAGTTTACGGATTTCTCATGGAAAGTTATAGCGGACATATATGACTTAAACTCTGAGGCTTTCGAATTTTTTGCGAGGATAGCGTTCTTATTACAATCCAATTTTGCGCTTAGAGTTGTGTGTACTAAAATATATTATTGACCAGGCAAAAAGGAGTATGCTTTTTCATGAGATCAGTGTACAAGTGTCATTTTACCAGCGCGTTTGCTCATCAAATAATCGGTAAGCACTAGAATGCAGTTGATCCCCGAAAAGTCACGATTTAAAATTCGGAGTTTCAGTTTTTCTCGAATTTGACCTTGAGATGCAACAAACAGTTATTGTTGGGGTTTTTTGTACCGATTTGCATCACTTCATATAATTTAATGCCTAATTATTAGGGAAGATATAATTTGCAATTTTTGTACCGTAGTTAGTGACGTGATTTCAGCGGAATTTCCCCGTAAGATGTGTTGTGCACACATGTACTGTGGAGAAGATGCTAAACAACCGTATATGAAAGCACAGATTGAAGTATTGAAATCAAATGAATTGATCATTTGAAGCATATGTTGTAGGAAGTGGGGGCACATAGCAAATAAAATACACTTTTATGAGCTAAAGGTTTTGGATTAACGGGGCATATATTTACCGTTGTATTCTTTTCAAGGATAATATGGCGAGCTGAAATAAAAATCGAATTCAGATGCCCTGGGGTGCATATTTTTTGACGTGCTTAGGGGTTGAATCACAGGTATTATTTACATCACATCCAAAATTCGCCTTAGTTTCTCACAATTTGCGGATACCAGAACCTTGCGGGCTGACTTTGAAAATACTTATACCTTCTTCATTCAACGAATTCAGGCAATATCTTCTCTTAGGCAGCAGTAAAAGTTTACTGTGAAAATGCATCCACCAATTTGTTACAATGCCAGATTTGTAGGTTCACTCGAGCTCAAGTCACACACCGCTCAAAATTAGTGATATTCGTCCACTTGCCTGAGTTTTTTCCTCCGAGGCTGTATTCCGATCACACATGGGACTCAATTCCATGCCTTTTTCCCGTTCGCGATCACCTTGACGAAAAAGTTCTTCCATGATTCTTTTAGTCCATTGACGATATAATGCCAAAGGTTTTGTGGGATTACTCAGGTCCGAACAATGGATCATGTTTTGAAGAATCTGTTGATGATGAAAGGCAAGTTCTTAAAAGAAATATAATGTCAGTAACGGCGTTGTCGGTGGAGAATTATAAGCCGACGTTTCAGTTACCGTGGATAACCTTTCTCAAGGCAGTTTTGCAATCAAAATCTAAATTCAAACAAAACGATCTGGCTACTGATGTTATTAAAAGTAGCCGAAATATCGGTGAATGCATGCATTTGGAAATGACAACTAGTGTTTGAAAGGAAAGCTTGAAGTTGGTGCTATGGTGGCCTTTAATTACTTATGTGCCTTTGTTTCAACTCACCTGCATGCGGTCACTGTAGTTGTCCAAAGTGAGAATCCCCGACCCAGCTACCTTCTTCGTTTCGACCATCGTTTTGAGATCCGCGAGCAAACTCATGTGTTTCGACATGTCTGTGGCCAATACCTGTTGTCGTAATTGAATATTGAGTCGGTAAATTAAGTGAAACGCATGAGTTTTAGCTCATGAAAGTTTGGGAACTAGGCTGCACAGTGATTAAAGAATTAGTGAACCGGTTTCGATCGGATAACTGATAAATTAACTAATTAATTTAATAAATAATTTATTGCCTGCTTAATTGATCGCATTGTTGTTTCATCGAAATATAAACTGACTCATTGGGTCTTTAACTGATTTGTCGGTTATCTGAATACTACCTCGATTGATTGACTGTTCGACTAGCTTATGTTTTATTTGGCTGTTTGATTAGATGATGTTGATTGGCTGGGTAACTGACTGATTGATTGGTTGGTTGACTGATTAGTTGATTGACTGTGATTGGTTCTCCCTACCTTATTCGGTTGTTCTTTTGTACTATTCCCCGGCTTTTCAAAGCAAAGCTTCAAAGTTGTATTACGCGGTCTGATAACAATCAGCCCTGTTTCGCTAATACTATTGACGGACACATTGATTTCTGCATATAGTTTACTAACAACATACATTTACATAATACGCACGTTGCACACCGATTTATTTTCATGCTGCCCCCACCCGAAAGCTTGTTTCCATTTTTGATGTATTCTTCTTCGTTAAAATTTATGAAAAATTTCATGCCCCCTTCCTGGCTTGCATAAAATAGGTAAAAAGTAGAAACTGAGTTTCTCACTATTCTCGGTGCATAAACTTGGGTTCTTTTTTTATTCTGTTTTATATACCCTGTGAAATTCGAGTGTACTCGTTTTTGAGTGAAAGTTTTTAAATCGAACGTGAGCATGTGGGCTTGCAAAATGTTTTGCAAATACAAAATGATTTTAGTTACAAATCGCCAATCGACTTTTCCCGCGATATTCTTAGAAATGTTTCTTTGGAACAACCGAATGAGCTTCGACGCAGATGATATTTCTTTTTCGGGAACACCTTCAAGCATATGGAGCAACAGGTAAATGAAAAAAATCTTCAATTGTGTTGCTGAACGAACCTATAAAACAAACAGACAACTGACACGGGTTAGGTGGTTCGGTAATTCCTGTTGTTCAATGACAGGCAGTAATCAGGCTGTGTTCAAATAAGCCTGTGCAGTCGTTTTTCTCACTAGTGAAGGCAGCGTGTAGGACACGTATGAGTAGACACACGAAGAAACAAGGTATAAGGAAATCAATTATCTATGACCCACAAATCGGACCGCGCCTAATTTGTTTCGTTGTCACATGATGCTACACGAAGAGGCGATTGATCAGGTGTACAAGGAATGAATAATGGTGCAAATTTACTTCCCCTCCCTCTGTGATTTGCGAGGATAAAGTCTTCAGTTCATTTAATTGGAGGTTGGATAAAAAGCCCGAAGCTTCATGGATAAATGGATTGGACAGTTAGGTCAACACATTCATCACGGAGATGGGACGAATTTACCAAAGCACATCGTTGTTTGAAACGTGTTGGATCTTGTTTTTCGTTTTTGCTTTATAAGAGTGGACAAGCCATTTGCTTGTTATGATCCGCGTGTTTTTCTAGCTTTGTTTTACTATTCAATTTTACTTCTCTGTGCTTCACCCCAGATAATGTATTCCTTTGGTAATACAAGAAGCTGTTTACTGACGCCACAAGAAGAATTTAGGGTCCACTTAGACCAAAGGACCAGAAAATAATTTGTTTTTGACTTTTATCGATGATGCTGCGACTGAGTACTTGTGACTCCGATTGGTGGTTCACGTGAATTTCAACCTTGTTTTGCCTTTCTTGCAATGGTTTACATTCATCCACCTCTGAGCGGTAGGATTGATTTCGGTGCAGTCGATGAAGTGTTAACTTTTCCCTCATATAACTTGAAGTGCATGCTGTCTGAATACTGTGTAGTCCAGGTAGTTAGTTGCTCAACCCATCTTCTGTTGCAACTATCCGGTCACATTGGGATTCAAACATATGGATAGATGCTACCTTACAGTTTGCCCAAATCTAGCTGGACCCATTTTATTAAACGCAATTTTTGCAGTATATTCAGCTGACTAAGTTCTATCCGGTACGAACAACCTTTGATCGGTGGTGGTCGAGTGATCTAGAACTTCTATCTACCACCTCGAAAGTCAGAACTTCCATTCCCGTCACCGAAGCTCACTTTGGCAGTGGACAGAAATTCACTGTCGATCGGATCATTACCATGGCTGACCTCTACTGGGACGTTATGTGGTTCTCCACTCAAAGTTTCAAGGCCAGATTTTGGTTTATTTTTTGAGACTGTTGGTTATCCTCCTCCACTATACTCATGTACAAACATGTCATACAAAAGGGAGTCCATTTAAAAGCTGGTGGATGCCGTTCGACACTGCGCCTCAACTGGGTGAACAGTATGGTCCATATACAGTGCTCGATACACACCTGTGACCGTTGGTTGAAGTTTGGTATTACCAGTGTATAGAATGTTGCATCAGGAGTAGGTTGGTCTAGTACCACATACAGTAGGAACGTGGACACGTTTTACCATTATAGCTTCTTCTTACGAGAGGGTCAAATAGCGGATGGTTTGAAGCAGTACTTGACATGCGCCTACCTCAGCCTTCTGTGGTTTTGGTGTGAAATCCATTTGCCGGTCAAAAAGCGGAAGTCCGATGTGGCAGTAACGTTATTTTTCTCGAACCGCTCGAAAACCTAGTCGTCATTTGTGTGGGATTTGAGGTGAATGGTTCATGTCAATTCAAGTCAAGTGATTGCTTTATGCACCCCGAGGGGTGGATATTCAGCGTTTTTGGTGTTCGACATTGGTAATTCGATAGGACAAAAAAGACATCGAAATGGGACTTATCGAGCGATAGATTTTAGGTTCTTGATCGGTATGGACTGCATTAGTAGACTGGATTTGAGTATATGGAATTTCTTTACATGCGTAGCTCTCCGAGGCTGATCACTGTCGAAGTTAGCTCGGAATAGCCAGTTGGTGAAGTGGCATACATTCATAAAAATGATGACCAATAAGTCTGTTTGTGAGGGATGAGTAAGTCCTTCTTGTTCGGATTCACGAGATTTGTCTATTTGTTGATCGCAGGCACTCGGTGTTGGTCATTGACGCGCAACAGCTTTACGTTTTCCACTTTCTGTGTTTCTTTTCGTGCAATTTCGACTGGGTTATGTCGAATAACACTACCTGTAGTCACTCAAATTAACGCTTATTAGTAGATAATTGAAAACAGAAAATGCTCCTGATTGGAAACGAGTCCAGGAGCACTGGTAAACAGCGCTCAACGCTCATTCATCAGCATTCTCAGTGTGCAATATATCTATCTGCCTGGTATGCAGATACTTCATAGAGAGTCATTTGAAGCAGAAATCTTTGGACCTTAGATAAGTGCCACTTTTTTACATTCACAAAAGTGAATCAATGAAAGACGTACAGTTTTCGGCAACTGAGAAGAGCGATTCACCAGAACCCCATATAGCCCGGTCACGGTTGACCCCACGTAAATTCCAGACATTCTCGGCATCTTTCGGCCAGTTATTCGGCTAATGCCTTGCGGATTGATCCATGTGCAGGAATGTTTCGCATCCCCTAAATAAGTCAACATTCTCACAGTAATTATGTGTTGCTCACATCGGGGACGGATGGGCGAATTTATTTCCATTTTTTTCTTGTGCTTATGTATTTATGTTCGCTTGCCTAGTATTGTTTAAAAATAAAATGAGAAAATGTTGGTTTTCAGCCCAAATGTATTGTAGTGTATCGTTGCCCACCTTCATTGTTTTTTTCCATTTCCAAGGATGTAGAATTAAGGCGCATTGAACATATTCTTTCCCCCTTCACAATAGAACCAAGAAGCCTGTCTGCTTAGCGTGTAGTCTCTGTTGCTCAGTCTTCATGCTAGACGACAGAGGGAGTCATCCGGTGTAAGCCTTTTCACTCAGATTCCTTGGGCTCGGGCTCAAAATGAAATGTTCACCCACGTTGATTCTAAATGTCCCTATGGGCACCGTTTTACTCATGCACTGTTATCTCCCACCACCACCGCTGGTAGAGCGTTGCAGATGTCCGTCGCCCTCCGTGAACTTCGATGGACGAGCGGAAGACCGGCCGGGCATATGGCTCCGATCATGGCTTTGATGGAGGCACAGATAACATCCGAATGTGCCTTCGTCTACGGAGAAGATGAGAAATTGACCCTGAGGTTTCGCTTATACGAAAATCTCCGGAGTGATTCGTCTCTGATTTGATACACTACGTCTGACTCCCTTTGTGGGCATTTTGACTGGTCTATTGGTGGGGGCAAGACATCAGTCCTTCATGCTAGTTTATCGAAGTCACTTCACAGAACTTCCCTGTTGAAACCCTTGTTGGATGATTACTCAGATCTGCCAATTCTTCATATTGTATGAACAAAAAAATCACCAGAAAAGGAAAAGCTCCGGATAAATATGTTGGAGACGAGCGGAGGGTGGTGAAATCATGCGGGATATGAGAAGTTCAAAGACCCGTCAGTGGAGTGTGGAAGAACCGAGAAATAAATGAGCTAAGAGAGACAACTGGATGCAATGCCCATGACTGAATAAGAATGACCCGTATCATTTTCTAGTTTGGTTATATATTTTTGTTGAATCTTTTCACGAAAAATGAGTCCGATGGACACTAGGCATCAGTGCATATTGCGTAGCGGGCTACGGTGTTGAATATTCTACAGACATTACCTGGTAGAATACAAACCGATGCATGTAAGCCATAGATTATCAAATTAATGTCTCTTAGGACTCACCATGTCAATAGTCATTCGTCGCAGACTCAGTCGTTGTTTTTTTGCCAAATTTTCGAACATGTCACAACCTGATCGATTGAGTAACTGAAATGCCACTGCCAAGTGATGGTTTTCCAAAACTGAAGCGTCATTATACATTATAGCCAAGTGATCGTCTGAAAATGAGAAATAAGGCGGGAAACGGGAATAAAGGTTGAATATAGAAGATAATTCATCTTCGTCTGTAGCATAACAATGCTGGTGTGCCTTGAAACACGGAGTCCTCTTTTTGTTTACACTAGTTAGAAAAGAAAGCAGATCAATATTGACATTTAATAACGCTTGGCTCGTTCTGTTCGGTTTCTTTCACACAACAGCATAATGTGGAAATTAAATTGCACCGGTGACCCAAAAGAACAATAACGGCAGAAGGCCACCGAGGTGAAATCAAATCAAATTCTCGGATTGATCACGCCGGCCAGACTGAGTTGAGTAACCACTTCGTCCGATAGTAACGATTCCCAGTTCAAATTATGCAGTGACAAAACTGAGCCAGTGTCGTGCTTTGTTGTCTTCTGGAGATTTCGGTGGGTACTGACTTTAATAACCCGTTGAGAACACACGTTATGAAACCCGTTGCAAAAGTATGGATGAATACATACACAATATGTGAAGCACCGCCTATCATCTAGAAGCATCAGGATCTCCAAAGAAAATATTTGAAGCTTACACAATTTTGATCACAGGCATATCTCCGATGGGATATTCATCAGTGTGAAACGGTTCAGAGTAGACTGCATAGTTCGATACACCATAATACTGTTTTTTTTGTTGCGTATAAGGCTAGTGCGTAATTCTGAGTGGTGGTTAAGTACTGGTCTTTTTTAAACTCAGAGCATATCCAGTAGCACCTATCAATATGCTTATACCACACTGCCCGGATGACATCACCTTGATGAAAGAATAGTTTACAATCAAATTTCCGCGTCTGAATGAGTGAACTAATATGAAACCTATTTAGAATACATTGAGTTAAGATTATTTTCATCCATCAGAAAACTGTTTTAAAGCTGACTTTCAAGTTGCAGGTTACGATTTAGAATGGCAACTTTCAATAGTATGAACAAGATTGTAACAAGACTAACAGCGGAGATTTTCATAGATATTGTATGAATATACATACTGCTTTTGGGATCGGTGTTTTGCCTTTATTACCATTGGTGTCACTATAGATTAGCGCAAATTGGGATTGCCCAATGAGGGAAGCTGTTGATAGTTTACCAAATCAAGGAAGATTATGCCCATAAACTAATTGCAGCCTTTTTATTTTCCCCGATCAGCGCTTAAAAATAAGGCAATTATTTGGGGAATGATGTATCAGAGGGTTAGTTAAATAGAAAACGGACTGTGAATAAGTGCTGTAAACAATGCCTAACTGAAATCGTAACCAGCATAATGTGATGTATATTGCTGTCCATGGATTGTTTATATGTGTTTGCCTAACGCAGTTCCACAGACAATAGATGCCATGCAGACAGAAGACGGTGTGTGGAACAATTCAGTGGAGGTGACTGGTCTATCAATGAGATATCAACCAAGCTTAAATCCGTCACTATTATCATTGTTATTATCACTAGGGACATGCACACTACTGGTAGCAGAAGAGACTGCGATTTTTTTGAACTGTTACATGATCACTAAACTATGGTCAACTTTGCATGCTTCCTCTCTTAATCTCAGGAAGAAAAATTGAAGAAGTATTATTTGATTGGTTTGATGGGAATATGAACCTTTCTTCAGTCCGGCAGGAGTGGAATAAGGAACTAGTTATTCCAATCGATATTTTCCTCAGAGCATGGTGAATTCCATCAAATTAGAGTCTTCGCATCCAAGTTTACTCACCACTGACTTACGGGCTGGGTACATGGTTTTGGTACTTATTTGACAGACGTTGAGGACAAAAATTTCTTTTGAAAGAAAGCAATCAAATTTTTGGTTGGGCTATGACCGATTTCTCTAATGAGACCGCTCATGGATAGTAATAGTTGAATTTGCTTTCTGTGGTTCTAAAATAAATGGACTGTTCAAGTCCCTGTTTTCAGACAAGTGAAAATGTGATGTTAAATGCGTTGGTAAAAAGAAGGAAAAAGGAGTTAAAAGCCTTGAGTATGCCTGCTGGAATGCCTCAAATAAAGAAAAACGGTGACACTTTGGTCGATATTGATAAAAGTGCAAATTTTAAGCTATCTATAGGGTCTTCCATTAGAATGTTATTTCTGGACTCCTTTCAGTAAACAAGTTATTGGAAGAAGCAAATTCCAAGACAAATAAAGAGGGTGGGTTTCATGTACATGGCATTGTGTTGCTGAAGATGGTGCTGAACTGTGACGAGTTTCGGTGCTCGATAAACACTAGTTTTTACGGTGCAGTATTCTGTTCTCCAGTAGTGCACGAACACATTCATATATTTCTACGGAGTGAGATGAACCAACTGTATAGTGCCTCCTGAATATTTAGTTGTGAAATGAACGTTGACTCTGTATAGTGAGTCAAGTCATAAAGCATCTGAATCTTCTACTGAAACTGTTCTTTATGAAACCTAGGTCAAAAATGAATCCATTCAGTCAAAAGTCGACAATTATGTTAAAGCTGATGAGATAAGTGACAATCAGAAACGGTTGTCTGTAACATAGTGTGAAGAAACGCGTTTCCGGATACCCTTATGCGTCATTGCAAATGCATTAAAACGCCACGATCTGGTCTATGGTCCCAGAAGGCTGGAATGCAGCCGGAAGTAGATAACTGACGTGCGCGCTTGTATGCTTATTTCGGTTTAGAGCTTCTTAGTCTATATCGCTCTTCAATGTCTTGCCGTGTTTTGAGCCATGACATACTCAACAAATTGTAGACTGTGACATAAAAACGGAACTATAAAGACAATTTATCCGCTGAATTCACACAAAATTTGACCCTGTTGGTTGAATGAGCTGTCAGAACCGTGAAATATGTGTTCAATTAAAACATATTAAGGGCACTATTGGTGGTGTAAGACTTTATACAGATTATTAGAATTTTAAAAGAGTGCTTAAAATTTGTAACGCATTTTGTGGGATAATACACCATTTCTTAGCAGAGTGTGTTACTAGTTTCCAAAAGATTCTTGCTATTTCATTGTTAGAGATGCATTTATTCAGTTGATATTTATACTAGGATTGACAGATTATCGTGAATCAAAAGAGTCAGTTAGTCATTTGGCTTGGTACAGTATTTCTGGAGGGTTGTGGCCGATTAAGGTCTGTCGAATGGTGATGTGACCGACGATGGCTGCTTAATTCGCCCCCCAGGGCCGCAAAGTTCGCCTTTGACAACTGTCGATTGTTGCCATGTACGTTAGAAAAAGAACCTGAGAAAATCTACTGAACTGTACACCAAGAATGATGATACGAAAAAGAGCAGAGCTTATTGCAAAGTTCTTGAATCTCATCGCAGAAAGATCAAAAGAAGTTCCACTGAATAGGGTCCGTCACACACGATCTGTCAACCATATTGTTGTTTATGATTTACGGATTGTGACATTTTCTGAAAATGGAACTCACTGAATTTTCGTTCAAATTACTGGGAAAATGTCATGGATGGGGATTAATGGTAAGTGAGTGGCTGCCATTACGACGCAGTTCGTAAATGTCGATACTTTTGCATTGCCCGATGAAAGGATAGGCAATCTGGTTGACTTTGCCGGAAACGGTTCACTAGAAGGTTATGCACTTTCGCAGATGTACCGCGTACCATAAAGATGGGATGGGTGGGGGGTGGGGAGGGAATGAAAGGGATGGTGACCGAAGTCGGTCATATGACTTTCCACAATACTTGTATGTGATTGGCAATCGCGAATCTTTTAACTTGGAGTTATCGTTCCTTTTTCCGTTTGAAATACTTAAAATTTGGAACAGTGATCCTCAGCTTACCTGAACATATTGGGAGAAACTGAATTTCAGTGTCCTCCAAGTTGCTAGTTCATGGGAAGTGAAACATCAAACTTGATCAGATTGACACAATGAACAAGTCTCAGCAAAATTCCTTACTGTCACAATGTTAAGAATTACCACTGAGGTGTATGGAATTTCCCCAAATTTTGTTACAGCTGATAACTTCACCATCAAAGATTTGTCCTGAAGTTGCGAGAACCACTTAAAGCTAGCTTTTTCGGTTTTGAAATTTACCCTTTAAACTGCATTAGGCACTGTCGAATACATAAAATTCAGGTCACGTGAATGTGGTGCCCTTGACTGCATAAGAAATCTTCTTCAATGGCGTTTAGGAAATCTCGTTATTCGATGCATACGCGTTTGGAGAGGAATGCACTGCTCCGTTTAGAAACACCGATAGCCGTGAATGCGAGATATGAAGTGGAGATCTCCACAGAGCTCCTCCACAATTTTCGATGTGTTATTAATTCACGTGAAACAAAACGTTGCCTACTACAATACGGGAAGGCAAAGAGTATCTCATTGACATCATTTCAAATAAGGGCTATTGTCTGCGCTGATTTCCATTTATTGTGCAAATTAGAAAATATAAGGGACGACTTCAACCCTTCGTTCAAATCGCTGGGAACCTGATGCAAATAATGCAAATTATTGTAAAAGTCTTTAAGTTATTTTACAGGCTAAGTATTGCCTTCAAGCACTGAAGAAATATGAACGGCCTTTATATATGACCTGGGGAAATTGAGAGGAAAATATTGTTTATGCGCTGTAAAGATCTGATTGGGCGTTGAACAAAATCCCTAGCAAGAGTCTCTGTCAATCAGGATGTGAACCTTAGACTTCGTTTAACCGGAGTATCGACTTGTTGGAACGCCGAAACTTGGGGACTCAGAGTTCCGTATCTGTTTTACACCAGGAAAGTTTTGTGTTGACTATTTTATCACATAAGTTAACCTTATGGGCGAAGAGCTGTGCTGTCGTCCCTCCTGCCGAGAGGCCAAATGTTCCTTCGTTTTTCGCACTCATTTCAACTAAAGATACAAAAGTCCTCGACTTTAACTCCCCCTTCAGAATAACACTCACTCCATGACCCATTCGAATTAGGTATATATACATATACATATGCATGTATTCATTTATGTATAGGGTCTTATTTGGATCCTCTGGAGAGTGATTGGATACTCTTCATT